GGATCGTCCCCTTTTCAGAGATGCAGGCACAGCTACTGTAGAACACCAAACTCTCGAACCGCAAATAAGGGAATGCTCCAAACTCCCGAACGGCATACAATATAGCACTCCAAACTCACGAACTGGAACCATACGAATAGCTGCTAGCAGACGAATAGGAAAAGCATCCAAGCGGCTTACACTCCTAGCAATCAGTCTCTATCAGCATTCAGTAAATCCCCCCAAAGACGAGACAAGGCTCCGTGTTGAGGGTCAAGCAGTGGTCAGTTTAATGAGGGCTACCAGCCCAGTATTTATGCAGGTCTCCCACCTGGTGGACACTCCCCTAGGGGACCAAATGGGAGACTGTGACAAAAGACAGACAAGTAGACAAATAAGACACACAGTCACATTATATTCCCACAATGTATCCTGGCTTCCTCCTCTCTGTCTTGGAGATAATTGAGAAGTAATTAAATTATCTCCCAAGACAAGGGCAAATCGCCATTATGCACGTGGGGATACCAATACAGGAATTACTATTAAAATACACTATGTTGGAATGGTTACAGTAAAGATATACATTTAACATATCCCCAGATAGCTCAGGTCTGAGTGCACATTATTAAGCGAATGGCGCTCAGACCACACAAATACAGTGTATTAGCATGGAGCCAAAGTCTTTACACAGTCTGTTCTCATGCGAATGGGCTCTATGGGATTCCTATCTGGGGTATAACATATTCAGTAAAACTACCGAACCCCGGGCAGTTCATGCACTTTCACCGAACAAGAAGGGGAGGTCGGCGGCTTCAGCGGTGTTCGCGCAAAACTGTGTCCGATTTTAGTTCCATGAATTAAGCGTCGAACACCGCTGTGCGTTCGCATGTTTAAAATGGCTGCGACCTCGTGTTCGTGATACGAATGGCGGCCACTCTGCATTCGTCAATTAAGCTGTGGTTAACCGCAGCTTCAGGGAAGCTAATTGCCGGCACACTCCAGCTCCCAGGTGGTCCAGTCATTTGTGCGGTTGTTCGGTAGATTGAATCTACCGAACACCCGGCAGAAAAGCACGAATAAGTCTTTTCTGCAGGGAAAAAAGATGTCTTTTAACATGGGGCCATAGTCCAAAGGCAGCAGACGAGCAACCAGGCTTCTCCAATGCAACGTGGCGAGATTGCTCTCGTCACATCTCTCCCCTTTTCCAAACAGACTAACAGGGTATCTGACCTCCTGCCGGTCAGTGCCCTTGTTAATCCAGCAGCCCACCCACAAAACACAATAAACAGCACAGCCCACCCACACTAAATGGTTACTACACCTGGGTAGAGGAGAAGCTTGTCCATGTCCAGGTGCCTCACCACAGCTGTGCTGGGTACGGGTACGCTGACTTGGTGGGTTGCTGAGTGGGCAGAGACCAGCGGTACTCTGCCCTGGTGCCAGCACTACTGGGAAGGTAGCCTGGTTGAAGCCTGGTTGTTGGAGGGGGAGACCGACTGTCTCCCCTTTAGTTACACAGCCCTGCTGCTGGAGACTGACTGTCTCCCCTTTGGACACACAGATCTGCTGCTGGAGACCGACTGTCTCCCCTTTAGACACACAGCCCTGCTGCTGGAGACCGACTGTCTCCCCTTTGGACACACAGCCCTGCTGCTGGAGACCGACTGTCTCCCCTTTGGACACACAGCTCTGCTGCTGGGGGGCAGAACCGACCGTCCCTACCTCCTGTGCTGTAAGTGCAGAGACCATGGTCCCATCTGCACAGTTGTGGGGCTTACTGGCTCCCCTCCCACTGGAGTAGGAGGAGTTTGCCATTACTGCTGGAGAGGGAGCTGCTCTGTGCTTCATCTGTGTGTTCCCAGGACCACACCCGTTTGTGGCTGCTTTGGAGCTCGATTTCTGGGCTTTGGAATTACTACAGCAAGGGGCTCTGCCTGCAGCTCATCCAGCCTGGGGATGGAAGGTCAGGCTGGACGAGCTGCAGGCAGTGCTGGCTTTTGGGGAAGGTAAGGCGGATACCAGGGGCCTGTCTTGGACTGAGCATCAGGCCCTCTCCCGGCAAATACGAAACCAGGTCTCCCTGTTGGAGGAACTGGCGGGGGGGATGTCTAGGAAGCTTACAGCATGGAAAAGGGAAGTGGGGGTCCCCCAGGGAGCTACGGCCCACACCAGGGCCGATATCCAGCTGCTCTCTGGGCTGCTGGCTGAGTGCCGTGAACTTGCCAGCAGTGGCCTCCACTTCCTAGAACAGCCCCCCCCCCCGTCCCTGGAGGTGGGAGAGGGTACCGAGGAGGAGGTAGTCCCTGAGACCCCCCCTGAGGTGGCTAGTGTCAGCAAGGCCCCTCAGGCCTCCCTCACCTATGCTGAGGCTGCAAAGGGTGAGGGGGTTGAGGCTAGGGTCTTTATGGGGCCACCTTCTGACAGGCTCCGGGGTCTGCTTGTGTCCCTGAAGGCCCAGCATGCCGAGGCAGACTCGGGCCTAGCTGGGGTCCAGGCAGAGCTAAGGGAGCAGAAGGAAAAATCAAACAGGACCTCTAATTACAAAAGAGGTCCTTTGAGGGCCGCTATAGCTGAGAAAAAATTATCCTACACCCTGCTCCAGACTGAAAAGAAAATAGCAGACATCCAGGCCATCCTGCAACAGAGAGCCAAGGACGCTGCGAGGTCCAGGAGGCAGAGGGCTATGGAGGGCAGGAGGGACATGTCCCCAGGTGAGGAGTCCAGCAAGGACTTGGATTCCAACTCCCATCACTCACCTGGGGAGCCGTCTACCTCTGCCCTTGCTACTCCAGGGGGCGCTGCTGAGACGGAGGGGAAGGCCAGAGAGAAGGACAGTGAAGAGGAGTGGGACGGAGAGAAAGGTGAAGAGTGGCAGCTGAAAGTGCAGGACAGAGGTCGAGGGCTGATTAAGGAGTCTCTCCTCAAGTTTGGAAACGAACTTGGGGAGGACTCCGTAAAGGACAAAAAGAAGAAAAAGAAGAAAAAGAAAAACATCGCCCGGCGTCAGCCTGAGACCTCTGTCAGGGGGTCTGGAGATTCCACAGAGGAGGGTGAGTGCTCAAATGCTGAGTATATGTACAATGATGATGTTCAGGCCTTGCAGAAGCCTGGGGCCAGGGATACTAACCCTGCAGGTGGCAACACCTGTATGCCCCAGAAACCTGCACAACCTGCCTCTGTGGAAGTATCTGGGCCCCCCGCCGCCCTCCATGGTGACAGGGAGACCATCCCCGCCGGTACTATGGCGTGTACCGGTGATCCCATGGAGGGGTCCTTCCCTTGCTCCCTTCCCACTCCCTCCCTTACCTGCCTTCCCTCTGACCTTCCTCTCCGTGTGGTTGCGTCCCCTGGAGTGGCTGGTACCTCTGCCTCCTGTCCTCAGGCGGCTGCTGGGCAGGATGGCACTGGATGGAGCAGTCTGGAGCAGGGTGATGGCCCTCCTTTTCCCTCTGCTCCCTTGGAGCAAGCTCGACTGCTCTCCCCTACCAGCAAGTCTCCTCCCCTGTTTGTCCCCCAGTCTGTTTCCCTGGATGTGTCCAAGTTTGTCTTCCAGTCTGTTCCCCCTGCTTCCCTATGTGTTCCCCTTATGTCTGAATGTGTAACCAGTCCCCCTGTTGTTCCTGTTGTTCCTGTTGTTCCTGTTGTTCCTGGTGCCGCGGGTGCCGCTGGCGCTATGGAAGACAGGACTGCAGGGGACTCCCATCATCCTCAGCCAGCAGTCCATACTGAGGAAACCGCCAGTGGAGGTAAGAAAAGTATGACTAACATTGTGTTTGACTCCACTGGTGGTTTAGGGATGGCTGAGGAGGATGGGAGTATGGATGTAACTGTAAATGTAATGATGGGACCTATTGGCCTTAGTAAAAAGGTCCACAGCCAGCCTGTTTGTATTAATGATGTTGCCCCTGCCCCTGGTGTTGTTGCCCCTGCCCCTGGTGTTGTTGCCCCTGCCCCTGGTGTTGTTACCCCTGCCCCTGGTGTTGTTGCCCCTGCCCCCGGTACTATTGCCCCTGGTGTTGTTGCCCCTGCCCCTGGTGTTGTTGCCCCTGCCTCTGGTTATGTTGCCCCCGCCCCCGGTACTATTGCCCCTGCCCCTGGTACTGTTTCCCCTGCCCCTGGTTATGTTGCCCCCGCCTCAGGTTATGTTGCCCCTGCCCCTGGTTCACTGGAGTTAGTTGGTACACAGGTGGCGGGCACGAGCACGGGCACAGGCACCCTGACAAAGGGTGCCGCGGTTATAAATAGTTTAGACGCACAAGCAGGTACACGGGTTCCCCTTAGGCACTCCCAGGTTGTCACCCAGGGTTCTGGTGTGACCGAGGCCTCTGGTTCAGCGAGGGGAGTCCGTCCGAATCATTCCCAGACGGCGGGTCCCGGTGCGCCCAATGCTTGGGCATCTGGGCCACCTCGCCTCTCTGCGGACGGGCCTGCTACGCGTCCTCAGGTTTCCTTTGGGAACAGGAGGAACGTGGTACGGCTCATCTGTGGGGGTGAGACCCAGGTGCCTGACAGACGGTGGCTGGTGACCCGGCTAAAGGATATGGGATTTGCGCCCGTGGACCTGTACGCGCTCATCCATGCCTCGGGCACCCGGGAGTTCGACGTCTCCTTTATGACGTCGCAGCTCCTGGATCGCTTCTGGGCTGGGTGGGAAGCGGCCAGGTCTGCACAGGGTACAAAGTGGGCAGGATTCACCGCTGTGGCCATTTCTCGCCAGGGTCTTAAGAAGGTCACTTTCCTGGTGAGAAATGAATCCATCCCCATAGCAGACATCCTTGTTTGGACTAAGAGGTTTGGGGATGTTAAATCCCCCCTGTTAAGATCTTAGATGAGGATGGGATTTGGACAGGCGGATGGACTGTTTCAGTGTTGCTGCGGGAGATTCGAGGTGTCACACAGCATATGCCTAATAGTTTTTTCATCGGGGCTGACCGGGTATCCTGTTTTTACCCTGGTCAGCCCAGGGTATGTCACAAGTGCGGATCGTACAGGCATTACAGCAATGCCTGTACGGTCCTCAAATGCACTATGTGCGGCGCTGTGGGGCACCTCCGGGACAGCTGCAGGGAGATCCGGTGTCATCTGTGTTCAGAGATGGGTCACACGTACCGCACCTGCCCCGAAGCCCAGCACAATGTAGAGTCCATCTGGAGTCAGGAGCCGGTGGAGATGGACTCTGCTGGGTTAGGGGTTCAGGTAGCATCGTCATCTACAAGGCCCATCTCTGGCACAAGGGGTTTCCCTGCCCCAGCCTCCCCTCGGTCTCTGTAACATCTCAGGACCCTGGGAAGGCCACAAGTTCACGTCCCCTCACGAAAAGTGTACGTAGAGAACGCACTACCTCCACAGCCATTATGGCTCCCCCTAGACCCCCTCCCCCTAGCCCCCCCCCTCCTAAATTCTCCACGGTGAAGGTTACCCCCACTGAAAAGTCCCCAGATGCACGTCCCTTAGATGCACAGTCCCTAGAGTGGAGCACGGTGAAAGGTAAGAAACCCCCCCCCTCCAAGACCTCGACGCTGCCCTCACCCCGGAAGATCGCCATACCCCCGCGGCGAAACCCCCGAAATGGGGAGACGCCACTTATAAGGGTGGTGTGGCACGGGCGTCAACCTCCTCTTCGGGCTTGCAGGAGGCCCCGGTGCCCGTATCTAACAGGTACGAGGCACTGTCCTCCAGCTGGGCCGACTGTGAGTACGAGGAGGAGATGGCGAACCTCCCCGAGGTGGTGGCAGGGGTTGAGGTGGGACAGGAGGTGCTTCTGAGAGACGACGGGCCACTGTATCCCGGAGTCTCAGTGAAGAGGTTCCTCGGTTCCGACACGGAGGAGGAGGGGCACCGCAGAAGGAAGGGAAAGTCTCCTTATACTTAATGCCCTTATGGCAACTTTTCCTGTACTCTCTGTGGCTACGGTGAATGTAAACAGCATTAAGTCCAGCAGGGCCCGCTTTTTGGTTTACGACCACCTCAGCCGGGCTCCGTACAATGTCATCTTGGTACAGGAGACCCGGCTGGAAACCCTCGCGGCCCTGCACGCTGCAAAGCAGGACTGGAGATGGGGGCCCTCCTACTTCTCTCTAGCCACAGAGAGATATGGGGGAATCGCCATCCTATTTAAGGACGTTGATGTTAGCATCAACAGGGTTATTGAGTTGCAAAAAGGACGGTGTGTGGTTTTAGATGTCTCAATGGGAAGGCAACCTTTCAGGATAATTAATATCTATGGCCCCCCATCTAAGTGGGAGAGGAAGCGCCTGTTTATTGAGATAGAGCCTTACCTTTATACATCCCAGCAAATCCTGTTTGGCGGTGACTTTAACACCATAACTAGGCCTCAAGACAGGAGAGACGCCACTCAGAGGCTGGGGTATGACTCCTATTTTTTAAATAAGATGGTTAGTCAGGCTGGATTGGTCGATGTGTACCTTCATCACACTCCCAATCCCACGGGTGGGTACACTTATCACAGAGGTAGCTGTCAGAGTAGGATAGATAGGTTTTTCTTTAAGGAGAATTTCCCGGTGGCGGCACCCGTGCTTACACCGGTGGAGTTCTCCGACCATCACATTTTGTCTTGCGAGTTGAACGTCTATAGTACCCCACCTAAGGGTAGAGGGATCTGGCGGCTAAATTCAGACCTCCTGGTGGAACAGAGGGTTCAGCAAGCCTTCATGGAATTCTTTCACGATCAGATGACATTGGCCGACTTAGGCCAAACGAAGTCTGAGTGGTGGGAGATGGTGAAGGCCAGAACTCAACGGCTGTTTCACAATCTCGCCCGGAACATGCAGTCCTCCAGGTACAAGATGTATCTGGGCTTGCTTGGGAGGTTAGACATCCTGATCTTGCAGGGAGGTGACCCCGAGGACATTGCGGCAGTTAAAAACCTGATGAGGAGTTATCAGTATGACAGGTACGCCTCCCTTGTAAAAGAGAGGGATCATGGGTCATACCGCTCGCCCGATCCTTATCTTAGCTGCAAGCGGAAGGAAGGTACCAAGTCCATCCCTAGTCTGCGGGGCACCGACGGGACCCTAGAGGAGTCTCCTCGCGGGATTCTGAAGGTGGTCCACGACTACTATATTGAGCTCCTCGGAAAGGGCAGCCCCCAATGTAGCGAGGAGGGAACCTCCCACGGGAGAAGGGTGGATGACTTCTTGAGCGAGCTCATGCTCCCTGAGCATAGCGACCTCTCTTTTGACGAGTTGGTCAGCGAGATCACCATAGAAGAGGTTACAGAGAGTATCCAACAGCAGAACAAGTGTAAGTCGCCAGGTCCTGATGGTCTGACGGCCGAGTTTTACCAACAGTTCTGCGACCTCTTGGCCCCTCATCTGACCGAGGTGTTTAATGAGAGCTTGGCTCAAGGATTATTGCCACCCTCGATGAGGACTTCTGCCCTGATCTTGCTGTCTAAGCCGAACGTGCTCGACACAGCGGATGTGGGGAACTGGCGCCCCATATCCCTGTTAAATGTCGACAGGAAGGTCCTGGCAAAGATTTTGATGAAACGAGTACAGGGCCTAGCGAGGCGTGTCCTATCCACCTCCCAGTACTGTTCAATCGAGGGCAGAACTGTCTTTGATGCCGTTTTCGAAGTCAGGGAAGCCCTCGAGAAGTGCAGGGACGGAGAAAGGGGGATATATCTTCTGGCACTTGATCAGTCCAAAGCTTTTGATCGAGTAGATCACCGTTATCTGTGGTCAGTCTTGCGGAAGTATGGCTTGCCGGGAAAATTCGTCAATTGGATAATCACCTTGTACAGAGGGGCCGAAAGCTTCGCTCTTGTGAACGGGTGGAGGGCAGGACGTTTAGGATCCGATCCGGGGTCAGGCAAGGCTGTCCTCTTAGCCCACTCTTGTACGTGTTTGCAGTCGATCCCTTCATCCGAAGGGTCGAGGCAGGCACGTTACAGGGAGTGGCCAGGGCTCCGGAGAGGCCTTTACGGGTTGTTGCCTACGCTGATGACATCTCCATAGTGGTCTCCAATACTCGGGAGGCCACGGAGGTGGATGATTTAATCCTAGCGTATTCTGCCGCTTCAGCCTCTTGTGTCAACAGGGACAAGAGCGTAGTTTTCTGGTGCGGGAAGGAGGGGGACCAGTTCCCTCTTCCAGACGGTTTCCCGAGGGCCCAGCCTGAAATTAAGATCTTGGGGGTGGTGTTCGGACCAGGGGATCTGGCTCTCAGGAACTGGACCGAACGGCTTGCCATAGCTTCTAGCAAGGTGGAGGAGAGCCACAGGTGGAAACTGACGTTTAGAGAACGGGTGAACCTAATCAAAACCTATGTTCTGACCGTATTCGGCTACGTCAGTAACATCTTCCTTTTGCCCAGGTCCCTCCACGCTCGGATGTTTGCGCTGTTCTTCCGCATGTTGTGGGGGAACAGGCTGAACCTCATCAAAAGAGAGGTCACTTACCTGGCCAGAAAGGTCTGGCCATGGTCAACCCCATCGTCTTCTTTACTAACACCTTCCTGAAAAGGAACTTTGGGGCTCTCCTGAAGGATGAGCAGCCTGGCTGGGTATGTATATTCAGGGAGTGGGTCACACCTTTCCTGGTGGACTGGTTTCAGGGTGGGAGGGTGAAGAGTTCGGCATTCTAGCTATCTTCCGTCTTCGGTCATCGAGGGAGTGGGAATTCTGCGCAGGTGGAACGTCACGGTGGAGGAGGTTCGGGACACTCCCAAGAAGCTTCTCGACGGGAGGGTCCTGGCCACCCACTTTGGCATTCAGCTTGCTTTGAAGGACTGCCCGCCAAGTACTCTCGCCTCGGGGTTGAAAAACATCAACTCCAGGCGCCTTCCGGAGAAATACCGAGACGTGGCGTTTCTCTCCTTCCACGGTAGACTTTACGTTCGAGGGAACTTGAAGTACAGGAACATAACGGATCGCGGTTGTCCTCGGGTGGAATGTTCCGGGGAAGTGGAGTCCATGGACCACTTCCTCCTCGAGTGCCCCTTTAACGTACAGGTCTACAAAGAGGTCTCAGCCGCCTTAGGCATCCCCTGCTTATCCCGCTGGACTTATGCGGAGTGGGCGTACGGGACGTCCAACTCAAGGGGGAGGGCTTTTGATTTGGGCACTCTTTATGTAGTCAGTTCAGTGGTTAAGTATTTCACTTGGATGGCAAGGTGTCAGGTTTCCCTTCAACATAAAGACCTTTCCTGTCAGGTGGTGGTAGCAGACATTCTGAGGGCGGTTCGTGGGATCTATACCACCGAAAGGGCCTCTATGGATCCCACCATTTGGCAGCATTTGTGGCGAAATCTCAAGGTCCACCCGCCTTGAACCGCTCCATGGGCGCCCTTGTCTTGGTAAAGGGAATTCCAAATCTGTCTTCACCTTTCCCCCGTAGATTTTGAACTGGTTTTTCTTTTCATGGAAGGCTGCCACCTTTAGCAGACGAGTACCTTCCTCTGCGTCTAGGTAGTGCAGTGTAGTTAGGTTATGGTTATGGTTATGCACAGGTTATTTTTGGTATTGTTTGGGTTAGGGTGGGTTTCTGGTGTATGGACAAATTGAAAAATTTACTTTGGGTGGGAAAAAAAAAACACACTGGGTTTCTTTATGGACGGAGGGATGGACTCCTTGAGGGTGGTGTACAAACTGGATTTCATGTGGGTGGTGGGTCTATGGACAAAATTTTGATTTCATGTGGGTGGTGGGTTTGGATGTGATGAACTGAGAAAAGGACTCCATTTGGGTGGTGGGTTTGGGGGATGGACGGAGGGATAGACTCCATGAGGGTGGTGGGTTTTATGAATTGAAAATGGACTCCATTTGGGTGGTGGGTTTGGGTTTAAAGTTTGGGTTTAAAGTGTAGGTGGTGGGTTGGTGTTGATGGACGGAGGGATGGACTCCATGTGGTTGGTGGGTTTTATGAACTGAGAAAAGGACTCCATGTGGGTAATGGGTTTGTTTATGTTTATGTGTGTATTTTATTTCACGCTTGGTTTATGTTTGTGTTTAGCTGGCTGTGGACTCGAGGTCAATTGGGTCCCCCCTTGTCCCCCCTTGTTATGTAAGAGCTCCTTCAGGAGCATTTCAGCCTTTTTTCTCCCTCCCCAAGGCTCCATGAAGTAATGGAGCCCCCCGCCTTTTAATTTATCCCCTTATGATTTAGTTCCCCCCCCTTTTCTGTTAATCCCTCTCCCTGTTATTCCCAGTTATTTAATTTGGTATAAGTTTACTCCCCTATTAGTGCCCCTTCCTGAGTTTTTATTTCGGTATTTATGTTTAATTTTGGGGTATTTATGTTTCATTTGGTATTATGTTTGAATTGGGTATTATTTCAGTTGATTGTTTATTATTGTTATTTTTTATTTTGTTATTCTGTTTAATTTTGGAAGCATTTTACAAAACTAAATAAAATAAAATACTGTCTCCCCCTGGTACATTAAGCTGCCGCTGGGGAGAGGGGGTAACAAGCTCCTCTCCCATACATACTTCAAGCCGCGGCGGAGGGAGACCGACTGTCTCTGCTCCAAATACAGAGTCCTGCTGCTGGGGAAAGGAGACTGGGCTCTCTATTCCCGGTAGGACACTCTGCCGCTGGGGAATGGAGACTGGGCTCCCAATTCCCTGTAATTCACACTGCCGCTGGGGATCTGAGCCGACTGCCCAGCATCCCTGTAGCTCACCCTTCCACTGGGGAGGGAGGACGCTGCTCTCCTCTCCCTGCAAGGTACACTGCTGCTGGGGAACAGGACCACTTGTCTCTGCCCCTGTAACTCAGCCTGCCGCTGGGGAATGGAGACTGGGCTCCCAATTCCCTGCAATATCTCCCGCTGGGGAATGGAGCTCGGGCTCCCAATTCCCTGCAATACTGGTGGAGAGACCTCGGTCCCACCTCCACCCGCCACCTGGGGTTCTTCCCAGTAACACTCTGCAATATCTACCCAGCTGAATGGGGCTGGATCTGGGTCTCCGCTTCCCTGCTGAGCCTTCTCACTGGAGTGGAACAGATGTTGGTAGCCCTGCTCCAGCTCCATCTCTCGGATAACCAGGTGGACCAGGTCTTGCTCAATTTTGTGAGTGTAGTCTCAGTCATACCTGCTCTCCCTCCACTCCACTACTCGCTTCTACAGTCGCTAGTCTTCCTTGGGGATTCTCTCGCCCCGCTGGTACTCCACCATACCCAGTGCCTGGTACCAGATGCTTTTGCGCACTGCATCTCGGTCATCCAGGGCACCCTCATCATACCCCACTGCTGGTTCCATCTCGGTGCTGTCAGGGTCGCTATACTGGGACATGCGTTGCCCTCACATTGTAAAATCCACGGAATGGTGTCGCCGTTAGCTGTCCTTCTGACTGTAGGAACGATCCCGCCGCTTGCCACCAATTGTAACGGACCGTTTTGCACACAAGGGGGTTAAAACCGTTTAGGCAATCGTCCCTTTTTCAGAGATGCAGGCACAGCTACTGTAGAATACCAAACTCCCGAACCGCAAATAAGGGAATGCTCCAAACTCCCGAACAGCATACAATATAGCACTCCAAACTCCTGAACTGGAACCATACGAATAGCTGCTAGCAGACGAATAGGAAAAGCATCCAAGCGGCTTACACTCCTAGCAATCAGTCTCTATCAGCATACAGTAAATCCCCCCAAAGACGAAACAAGGCTCCGTGTTGAGGGTCAAGCAGTGGTCAGTTTAATGAGGACTACCTGCCCAGTATTTATGCAGGTCTCCCACCTGGTAGACACTCCCCTAGGGGACCAAATGGGAGACTGTGACAAAAGACAGACAAGTAGACAAATAGGACACACAGTCACATTATATTCCCACAATGCATCCTGGCTTCCTCCCCTCTGCCTTGGAGATAATTGAGAAGTAATTAAATTATCTCCCAAGACAAAGGCAAATCGCCATTATGCACGTGGGGATACCAATACAGGAATTACTATTAAAATACACTATGTTGGAACGGTTACAGTAAATATATACATTTAACATGTCCCCAGATAGCTCAGGTCTGAGCGCACATTATTAAGCAAATGGCGCTCAGACCACACAAATACAGTGTAATCGGCATGGAGCCAAAGTCTTTACACAGTCAGTTCTCATGCGAATGGGCTCCATGGGATTCCTATCTGGGGTATAACATATTCAGTAAAACTACCGAACCCCGGGCCGTTCGTGCACTTTCACCGAACAAGAAGGGGAGGTTGGCGGCTTCAGCGGTGTTCGCGCAAAACTGTGTCCGATTTTAGTTCCATGAATTAAGCGTCGAACACCGCTGTGCGTTCGCATGTTTAAAATGGCCGCGACCTCGTGTTCGTGATACGAATGGCGGCCACCCTGCATTCATCAATTAAGCTGTGGTTAACTGCAGCTTCAGGGAGGCTAATTGCCGGCACACTCCAGCTCCCAGGTGGTCCAGTCATTCGTGCGGTTGTTCGGTAGATTGAATCTACCGAACAACCGGCAGAAATGCACGAATAAGTCTTTTCTGCAGGGAAAAAAAGATGTCTTTTAACATGGGGCCATAGTCCAAAGGCAGCAGGCGAGCAACCAGGCTTCTCCAATGCAATGAAAAAAAGAAGAAAAGAAGAAAGGTTAGCGCTAATAATAACTAATGTAAAAATAAAAATAAATATAAAGGCAGCGGCCTTATAGAGGGTCACCCTCTAACCCTCTACAATAAGGATGTATACAAAAACAAGAAACAAAGGCTGCGCCAGGGGAGTAATTAAAACAAGTAAAATAAGTCCAAATAAAATAATAAAAATTCAAAATAGGAGAGTCCCAATAATAGGTGGTATTTCAACTGATATGATGTCTTCCTTAGTAGTGGTCGTCCGTCTCACGATATGAAATACACAATGGGAGAGAGCCAATTGTGCAGACTGTATAAATAGATAATATTTAAATAAAATATAAATTACACACTCACATTTCCATGAGCTAGGACCAGCTCTAGTATGATGGGCATACGGCGGATAACCCTCCGCTTATAGGGGTGCTTGTCCTCCTGGAGCGTCTTGGTGTCCAAATTCTCAGGGAAAGAAAATAAAAACAGCCAATAGTGCTCTCTGGTGTAGTAGCGTATAAAAAGAATAAAAATAAATAAAATATACTCACAAATGGAGTGCAGGTCAATCTGCACTCTGTTATTCGCGTGGGTGGTATAATCCCCACCTTAGGATATGCCAGAAACAATAAATGAGGTTTAAAAGTAATAATAATTGTAAAATTATTTATTAGTACAATATATTAAAACCAATAACGCGTTTCGCCGTGAAGGCTTTATCAAATTGGAATATTGGACTATGTGTGTTTTTGTTCTTCAATGCAATGTGGCGAGATTGCTCTCGTCACAATTTGCTTAGTGGATTTGTTGTAAGATTAAATCATGCCTCTCTCCCATGCGCTGCCCTGTAGGCTGGGAGGAAGTGAAGAGTAATCACAATCTCCAAGCACCACCTGTGGCTGCATGGGGAACAGCTCTTTAATGTAATGCTTGCAGGACGGCCAGCTGCCGCAGAACCTCTTTGTTCCCGTCTTTGCAAAGGGCTCCAGGCACTGCTTGCTGTGAGTGTGAGCCACTGTAAATTAGGGGCAGAGGGCACTTGCACTGCGGTAAAGACAGGTCTGGGCAGGAGGAGAGTGCAGTGGAATCAGTGCACTCCCCTCCTGTGGGTGCAAGGATGCAAGGAGCCGGTGCAAGGATTTTTGACGCCCTAGGCAAAAGAAAAATTTGCCGCCCCCCATGTGACATCACAATGCCCCACCTATATGATCTGCCATATGAACTAATGCCAATGCTGCACACAATGTGTGTTTACATTAAAAAGCCTGCAGGGACCGTCTATAGACACCAGAACCACTTCATTAAGCTGAAGTGGTTCTGTGGACTATAGTGTCCCTTTAATGTGAGGTAAATTATAGATTAGTGTCCCTAATAATATACTAGATTGCCTACTTACAACCAGATGAGGATGATGATGGGCTGCAGTTTGGCTCCACTGGTCTGGTGTAGAACAGGATCTCTGAAGGCTGTTTGTAACTGTGGTCACAAAGTTCTAGTAGAATGGCCGCGACCTCGTGTTTGTGATACGAATGGCGGCCACCCTGCATTCATCAATTAAGCTAACTGCAGCTTCAGGGAGGCTAATTGCCGGCACACTCCAGCTCCCAGGTGGTCCAGTCATTCGTGCGGTTGTTCGGTAGATTGAATCTACCGAACAACCGGCAGAAATGCACGAATAAGTCTTTTCTGCAGGGAAAAAAAGATGTCTTTTAACATGGGGCCATAGTCCAAAGAACAGGATCTCTGAAGGCTGTTTGTAACTGTGGTCACAAAGTTCTAGTAGAATGGCCGCGACCTCGTGTTTGTGATACGAATGGCGGCCACCCTG